TCATTTCAGGATTAGTTAAACAATGCGTTTTACGTGGATTTTGTGTAAGAAAAAACTTTTGTCTTGTTAAGGATAACTTACCCAACTGTTCATAATTAGGAGGACATTTGCCAATTACTGCTCTTGCAACATCTGCAACATAACTTTCCTTTGGCGGTCTCATCCATTCCGGCCCTTTTAACCTTAAGGATTTCAACGAGACTTCATGCTTTGAGTCACGCATAGCAGTAGATGTATTATAGATGGAATCAGTATCAGTTCTTTTTTCGACTACTGGTTTTGATTGCGTACCAACGTTTTTACCACAAGTTTGCAATTTCTTTAAAGGTGAAACACCCCAATTTTTATAATGTGAGTTTGTAGATCCTAAACTTCCTTCGCACACTTCAGAACTGGAACTGAGATGAGGTCTCTTCTTTTCTTGTAATTCATGGTCGCATATGTTTCGAACACTTATTGTTGGCTTCTTCTCGAACTCTTTGGGCAGTTCTATAGATTGAAAGGAAACTGTACTTTCTGATGACAACAAGCGGTCGTGTTTAATATATTCCTGTTTCGAAGATTTGCCATTGGCATGGTGGCGTTCAGGAATAGACGTGGCTCTATCCTTGAATGATTTTCTTTTCATTTTGTGTTGAAAAAAAAAACAGTTTAAGTAAAAGAAAAAACAGAAAAAGAAAAAACAGAAAAAAAAATTATAAATCAACAAAATACAAACAATGTGTAAAAATTTTTTTATGTGTAAGCTGGGTAAAGAATTTATAAAAAACCCAAGGCCTACCTATACTTTTTACTATTAGTTTTTTTTCAGGTTAATATGGTAAGCAACACATTCGTGACTTAATATCAGCCTGCATAATTGAACCAAGTCAGAAGTATCCTTATACTATAATATCTTTATCTCCAGAACTGATTTGCTTCCCTGTTCTTGTGTAATAAATGCATGAACGAGAAAATAATAGATTATAAATTGCTATGTAATAGGCACTTAGACAAAATTCGAAATATAGCAATCGGTGACAATCAGCATTGAAGATGCTCTCTATTGATTTCTATTTATAGGATTACTAAGACGAAAAGGATAGTAATTATATTTATAGTTGCCAACATTGTTTCCTATAGCAGTGTTGCTTTTTATGAGTGGTGCGGAATTAGTCCTGTTGTGATTCAAAAAAAATTAATAATAGGTGTTGACATATATATAACTCACCTAATACACATTTTAAACTGATTAGTTCACTGGGAATTAAGTCTATCTACTCTCATCTCTCTCCCCTGATTACTGTAATGAAGTTTCCTCAGTGCTGTGGAAATCTTCTCCATTCATTCCTAAGAGGTGGATTTAGTGGGTTCAAGTCTCACACACAATTTAAACTACCTTATTGCTTTCTGAACAAAAAAGAACTAGAATTTTAATTTTTTAAATTCCTGTACTTATTGAATCGCGCTGGCAACACTATTATACACATTCTGCCAAAGTTTAACACATATCGTACGCTTAGTTTTTGTTTGGCAAATATTTTTTCGACTTTTTGTATAGACGCCAAACAAAAACTAATCGTACGATATGCGTTAAACTTTGGCAGAATGTGTATAATAGTGTTGCCAGCGTGAAAATAAAAATAACCGATTGGATTGGATCAGCGCGGGAATTCCAAAATAGGCCTCTCGTTCTTTTTTGATCAGAAGGTATAGCCTTAAGTATAAATTGTAAAGAACTAGTTTAAGGAAAAGGTTTAATGAAAAATATGTGAGCTTGCATCGAATGCACATGAGATTTATTGAATTAATTAGCGCATAGATAACAGGTGTAGTAAAAAGAAATCCACTATTTTTGCTGTAATTGAAGACTTACTTACAGTAGTTAGAATGATCCGATTTGGGGCAAATATGCGCCGTTTTGTTCGATAAGTTGTTGCCTAAGTTGTTGATATTTTAAAAGTAAATTCATTATGCCTCTTTTATAAAAATCCTCGTCTGTATTGGTAAAAAATTGAGACAGTCGATTGTTGAAGCATATTTTTTTACTACAAAACTCGTTCGCCGTGGACAAGAGTAAACGGTAATCTTTTGGTACGAGGTTTAAATTACAAAGTGGATGCATAATAACTTCCCAACCAAGCTCCCGAAGCTTTCAACGAGCCTTTGATGTCGATATCAATGTATGTGACCTGGCGTTGTTCTGATGGAATATAATTCCTTTGCTAATATTGGCCGTTTTTGAGCGATTGCTTTGTTTAGAACAACTTATAGTGGATAATTCCTCACCAATCCTTCTAAACACACATCAAAACTTTCCCGGTCGTCAAGCATTGCTTCGCCACCTTTTCAGTCTACTCACCGCTATTCGACCATAACTGTTTTTGTTTGACATTGTCGAAATTGATCCATTTTTCATCACCAGTCACCAACCGCTTCAGAAGTGGGTTCATTTTGTTGCGATTTATCAGCAATTCGCAAATGGAAATTCGGTCCATGAGGTGTTTTTGGTTAACTTATACAATGCAGATGAATACAGATAACTAAAACCATCTATTGGGAAAATAATGAATTTATTTCTCCTACACCTTATACAAGTATATAGGCTTTTATGTTGTTCATACCACATACTGAAAGTTTCTTACGCTTATGCATATATCTCTTAACTATGCATTCACACTGCATCTTTGCTCTCAGATCAACTGCAGTCAGAATTTTTAATTAAAACATGGAACAATGATTACATTGTCTAATGCCCTAATGTTGGGTAATAACATAATTCCTGTAATAATGCTGCGCCAATCGAAGTGAGCACAGAAGAGAAGTTTTGCCGATTTGTGTAAATTATATATAACAATAATAATTTAGGAGATTTTAGGAGACTATTTATAGATAATTCTTAATGGAAACAAAAATTTTTGATTTCTTTGATAAGATGTATAACTAATTCAAAAAAGAACTGTTCATTCAAATAATATCAACAGTATTTGTTTTTAAGTTGAATGAAATCCCAATTCATAATTGACTATTGAAACCATCGTCGAGTAAAAGATCAGTGCAATTATTTTATTTCTTCTTATTTTCATAAGTTGACGTCGTCTCTACCATTTATACCAAGAATCATACAAAGTGAGGTTGAAAAGGAGCTAGAGTAGCTGCAAACTAGAAAACAAATCGTGGTGAGGTAGTATTAGTAATCATTCTTGAAATCAGCTTATAGAAATTCTTTCAATCTCATCGCTGCCGATGACATTTTTTTCTATGACCTTTTGTCATGAAATATAAAAGGACCTACATTTCGGAAAAATATGAACTATACTTAAAATAAAATTTTTTTTCCAAGGAGGTATGGATTCATGGGGTTTGAAAAAGTCTCATTTTAGAGTAATTTTTAAATGGTCATGGATCTCAAATATGGTTGCTGTAAAATTAATATAATTTTTCGAATATGAATGTAATAACAATAATAACACCAAAAATTTTTATAACTCATATCTGGAATATTAAATTTTGATTTTGTGTGGCAGCTATACCGATCTGCCCTTTTCTTTGCAGCCATTTGCTACGAATAAAGTTAGTTTTTATATTACTATTTTATATTATCATTATTATTGTTATTATAATTCTCGTCTATGTTATTATTATTACTATCATATTTGATCATTTTACTTTACTCCATCTATCTATAGTAGTTGACCAATCAACTGAGATGCGGTTTTAACTCCTCCACTCTGATGACCTCCGTTAGTTCCTAGACGAAACGCGTCAGTGGGCAGTTTAGTGACGCAATTTTCAAATATATATTTGCAATTCGCAAGGAAATAATAATAATAAATTTGAACGGACAAAAACAAAATTCGTATCTATATTTATTTCAATTTATTTTGAATTATTTTATTTTATTTATTCTAATTATTCTAATTCATTTATTTATTTATAAACTTATTGATTTTTTTAATTATTTATTTAATTTATTAATATTATATTTATATTATATGTGGGAAGGATAAACCACAGAAATTTGTAGGGGTAAGTATTTTATACTCGGTCCTAGTTTTCAGTGGTTAGCCACCTCTGTTGTTCAGATATTGTTAATGGACAATATACTGAGGGAATGGCTTTGACGGCATGATATGGTAATCTGGCCGTAACAGTGACAAAGCAGAAAGAAAAAGTAAGTAAAATAATTTTGAAGAATATATCTTTATTTTGTAAGATTTATTCCATATTTTGAACGTCACTATTTCTGAGTCATTTCTTATTTAGAGCAAATCCATTCTGGGCAAATATTTTTTATCCTAACTTAACCTATAAAAGAATACACTTAAAACGTTGGCACTTCTATGTTAAATAGATCAAAAACTTTTAGAACGTTCTGGGTTTATCGAGTTAATAGTTCGTGGTGTCTTGTGTCAACATTTTTTCTCCAGACTCTTTTTGTAAGCTAGAGTTTCACTATAAATACTTCTAAATACTCTGAATAATTAATTTTGAATATGTAAACAGTATCACTAGTATTAGAAAAATCGTATTTTGGCAGTGCAAATATTATTAAACATATATATACAAAATATTTCCCAACTTTTTATTAGACTTTTCATACCATTTTTCAGAGTATTAAATACACCAAGCTTTTTGGGGCACCAAAATAATCATGTCATCCTTTTTTCTTTCATTTCATGACGGAATACTCAAGGTTTATTTAACAAAGCACACTCTGGGTTATATAAAAAATAAATCTTCTTCTCTTTTGTTTCGTAGAGTAAGGAATTAGTTTTCATATATGTATTGATATATGCCTGATAATTTCAATAAGAGTAGAAAGTTTTAAAAAATCCTTCAAAAATACCAGTACAAAATGGTCAAGTGATTTCATAGCTGATGAACTTATACTTACTTACTTAATGCAGTCGTCTTCTTCCAGTAGAGCGTAGATGGACTTATAGTATATATATAGATGAACTTATAGTAATTGCTTATAACATTTTTTTTATTATTGAATTTGATAACTGCAGAAAATATTACAAATATATGTATGTATTTATTAAACAATTAAAAATGTATTTAAATATATGTTTATATGCCAATGTATCAAATATATGTAACCAGTACAAGGGCTAAATTTAAATTTGTGTTAAAATTGTACATTCTCGTACATATGGCGATTTCTTAATATACTTTCCTCCATAATTTTCTGCTTTGTTTCTTCCCATTTACCCAATCTGTCTACAATTTCGGGTAGTACTTCTTCGACATTTATACGATTGATCTCAGGACCATCACGTAATTCAACTTGAGTTTTGAAGTTATAATTTGGCGTATAACCATTAAGCGAAAGAAAATAATCGAAGTAAAACTCAACAGCAACTTGTTTATCGAGGTTTGTGATGACACTCATTCCAGCATTGGGAACATTTTCAATATCTTCAGTATCATCATGAAAAGCGTGAAACATGAACCTTACTTTATCGGGTATAACTTTCTTTTCTATAATTTTTGGTGGACGCTCTTTCTTCGGTATCGCAAGAATATACTCCTTTTTCTTCTCTGCAGTTGCACAACAAGGCTGCAATAAAAATTTAAGTGATAATTAATACTAATTTAACTGTATGTGACAAAAATTAATTGTGACATAAGGTGCATAAACGAGTATCGATATTGCAGTTAAATAGGATAGTAAATATTTAACAAGACTAGTAACTATTTTTAAAAGAGCTAATGATATTAGTTTTACTACCAAAGTCGTACCCTATGTTTTGGATCCAATGGCTCCATATTCTTGCGCAATACTTTTAGTTCAGCTTCCACACGATACTCAATCTGTTGAGCATTATATGAGATCTTTTTCAATTTGTGTAATTTTTGTCTAAAATAGTTTTCGCAAGCTCGAATTATGTTTGATGGATATGCTTCAAATTTTCCTACACACAAGAAAATTGATTATTATTTCTATTTTATAAATAAATTTAAAAAATTCTTAATTGCTATCTTAATTTATTAGTAATACAGTTATAATACGTAGTGATTATATCAATTATTTTAATACCTATTAGATCAATAATAACATCTGACATCATTGCAACCATCTGAACTGGTGCAAGTGCTCTTTTCTTGCCACCTCCTTTCTTTTTACTAGCACCTCTGATGCTTAGTGGAACTATATATTCCCAAACTTGTTCGACATAAGCTCCATCTGTCACATAGACTTCTTCGCAGTACGAAACTGCCATGGTCTCATTAACGAACTTTGTGGCACGTTGTCTCAAATCTTCTGCCCGACTGATCATGAAATACTTTCGAGCGCATTTGTGTGCTACTCGTTCAATTTTTTCACGTAAATCTGTATTGCACCAATCACGTAAATTAATTAGTTGCGACTTAATATCGTAGTGTAAAGCCAAGTTTAAGTGCAGTTCCAATAGAGCAATGAAAGTCATCTTTTTCAGACTTGCTATACCTTTGATTAAGCCCTGAGAGTCTTTGTATGGTAATATAATTGGATGGTTTTGTTGTAAGTATACATTTTCATAGAAATCTTTAATGGCCCATGCATCATCTCGGTCTCGTTTTCGAATATTAACGAAGTTGCGATTTTGTATCGATATATCATACCTCTCCAGTTCAACCTCCTCTCCACTATTGCTTACGCGATGTATCCAATCGAACTCATCACGCCATTCTTTCTCTGCTATTAAATAGAAGAAATTTTGCAATACAATAAGACGTATCCAATGACCCTCGATAAATGCAATATCCAAATTAATCATCTGCAATTGCCGTTCCAACCAACGTAATTCACGCTTAACGATGTCGGTTTGTTCATAATAGCTTTGTACCTTTGCGGATGTGATTATCACCAATTAAATTTTCAAAAAAGTATTTATATTGAGTTTGCTAACACTTACCTGATAAACAATAGAAGTGGTTCTCTCATACTGTTGTTGTTCCCACTTTTCAAAAAGTCTTTCATATAGTGCTGTGATTTTCTTCATTTTGTCAAAGAATTTATCATTTAAGCGATTTATTACATCCCATCTCACTATAAACTCATTAATAACCATGGATTGTATTTTGAGTCGCAGACCATCTTTTATAATTGAACCTAGGCTTTTAAATCGAAAATGTGTAAACACTGAACTTTTTTTCAGATCTTTTACAAAGTTTTCATCAATATCTGTTGCTACAAGCGGCAGATATTGTTTATTTCCGAAGCCAACTAACGTCTCGCGTATATTAATGTTTGGCACCTCTAAACGCAATCGTATACTATTTCTCAGGCGTGTATTAAATGTGTGAAAATTTTCCTTTGGAACAACCATTTCAAGTTGGGAGTGCTTTTGTCCAGAAAACGGCACAACTCTGAATGGATTGGCTTCTTCGACTTCACGGTTTATTGGTTTAAAATGGAATAGAGATTGTTTCTTCTCATCAAATGGCACGTTTGCTTTGCGGATATAGTCTAAGGGTACTTTAGTGTCTCCATGTATTATTATAAAAGTACCACTATCATCAGTAAAATTTGTACATTCTGAACTTTCTAATGAGGAAAGGCATGTGTCGACACTCTTTAAATCCTCCTCCAATTCTGCATATATTGCCTTTCTCTTTTCTTCTTCTCGTGGATCTATTTTCGTTTCAACAGTTTTTTGTTTTTTTAATTCCCCAGCGAGTTCATTCAGAAATTCGATATATTTTCTCCTACCACCATATCTATCACTTTTCAGTTCTCGTGCAGTACGTGTATGGTAAACTTCATCCTCTTGTGGTTTTCGACCTAATTCTAGTAATCTTGCTTCTGCTTCCAGTTTTTTCAACCTTCTGTGCTCTGCAAGCATTGCCTCTGTATCTATGAAAGGACGTGTTGCATCCCAATCGTGCTCTATTTTACATTCCGTTTCAGCGTTACGTCCATCCTCTTCACTAATATCATTTTTTTCATCGTGGCTTACTGGATCTTCAATTTCAGTCACATCATGTTGGTGGTGAACAATAACGCGTTTTGTATGAGTGGGTTCCCAATGATCGTGATGATGACGGGCGTGTGCTAGTTTTGCGTACTGAGTGTTTTTTAGCCTGACATTTTGATATTTCATTTTATCATTTCCAATTTTTCTCATGTGAGGAATACCAGTCTCTTTGACTCTTAATGTAAAGAGTTCCGGTGGAACATCTTCCTTAACATATTCACGTGGTTTACGTGGATGTCGGCGGGTGGTTGTTTGTCGGTGCTTTGGTGCAGGCATTTGAACTCTGTTTATAAAGGAATGAGAAGCAGTAGGTCTTTCCTTTAGTTCCTCAGCTTCATCTTCTGTTTCTGGTACCCAATCTGACGAAGATGAATCGGTTCTTTCACAAAAAGGTGGTACTGGTTCTGACTCCTTGATATGAGTTGATGTTCCTAACAAACTGATAATTCTTTTCTTTGCCTCTTGTTCGTCTTGTTTCTTTTTAAGTGCTTTCTCTTGCATGTATTGTATAGTGGTTTGAATTTCCTCTTTAATTTCTTCCTGTTTCACATTTTTAATTTTTGCATTCTTACCATATAGGAATCCGATCAAGTTAAATGTCTTCTTTCTGCGTTTAAGGTGTGGTTTAATAATTTTTAGTTGTTTGTATAGCGTACGTTCATACTGGTCTCCCAGTTTTTTTTCGCGGTATCTCTTTATGGGACTATGCTTTGCTTTAGGTGGTTTATATGCAAAGAATGAAGAGAAAAGCTCCTGCTTTGGATCATCGGGATTTGTCGGTTCTGTACGCAGTTTTTTCACATCAACTTTAACAGATTGCGGTTTTGTAGTTATTTCTTGAAGCCATTGTTCACGTGTTATACATCCCTTAACAGTATGAGCACCTTTCAACTTATCTATTTGGTGTGTTTTGCCACGTACATTTTCTCCCATTTTATAATGAAAGCCTCTAACTTTAAACACATCTATTTCTCTACCAACTGTAATAGCATCTTCATCATGTGACGAGTCTTCTGTTATAACGGTATCTATGTCAATACTATCACCAGTTAAACTACTGATTTCTAAGTCTGCTTCAGGATAATTTTTCACAACACCAAATTTTTGTGAATAGAAATCCTTTCTCATTTGTGCTTCATTGCGCTTTTCGCGAGCAAGAACTTTGAACTTCTTATTTAGTTTTCTTGCCTGGACCAAAGTGTGCGGGTATTTCTGTGGTATGTGGTCAGGTGGGATTATCTTTACAGGCTGTTTGATATTTAGACTATATTCAAAGTCTTTCTTTATTGCCGCTGTAGTATTTGCTAAGTTTCGTTTCGAAATCATTCTAGCCTTATCGCGTAAAGCTTGTTTTTCATTTTCAATGCTAGCAATCCGCTCATTTTCCATACGTTTCATACGATCTTTGTACAATTTTTCATTTCGTTCCCATCGGCGTGCGTCTTCTTCATCAATACGCTCCTTATTTAGTTCTTTAGCTTCTGTACGGAGTAATTTTAAATATTTTTTTGGTTCTGGAACAATTTCCGGTTCAGGAGAAGGTTCCCTGTTTTTGACATCATAGAAAGGAGGAATGGATAGGCAGCTCTCCATTATTTCGTTTTCAACTTTAATCACAGTTTCCTTGGCAACACGTTTTTGTTCCATATGGCGAGAAATTTTTAAAAAGGTTCGTTGATACTGTATATCCTGTTCATCACCTTCAAAAGTTTCTCTATAATTTACTCCTTGAAAGTCTAGGTTTAATGGATTAACCAAATCCATAACTTTGCATACTTTAGTTTCAGCTAATTTACTTTCTTCAGGTTCAATCGTTAACTTTGCTTTTTTAACCATATCAGTTAAATAGTTAACCTCTTTTTCCTTTGTGTAAGATTTCAAAGATAAAACATCAGGATTAGCCAAGCAAAGGTTTTTTCGAGGATCTTGTGTTAAGAAAAACTTTTGCTTAGCTAAAGATAATTTACCCATTTTCTCGATATTTTTAGGACATTTGCCGATAACAGTTCTTGGTGCACCTGCCACGTAACTTTCTTTTGGTGGTTTCGCCCACTCTAGTCCGCGAAACTGTTCTGGTTTTTCCGAGTGTTCATGGAAAGAATCATTAAGTTCAAGTGATGTACTGAATTTTGATTCTGGTACTTCATCTTTAAGTTTCTCCAGTGCTGACTGTGTTGCTACATTTTTAGTGCAAGTACCATATTCACGTTGGGATGTGATACCCCAGCCCTTATAATGCAAGTTTGTTGCCTCAGAACCTGTTTTGCGCTGGGTACTGCTTGTACTGGATTTCCAAATGCGTTTATTTGCCGCTGTCTTTTCATGTAATAGCGGCACGTGGACTGTGGGCTTTTTTTCGAACTCTTTAGGTAGTTTTAAGAGTTGTACAGAAACACTGCTATCAGAAGTTTCCTTTTGTTTGTATTTCCTAAATTTCGTTTTTCCTTTGTCACTCATAGACTTGCTCTGCGAACCGGTCATTGAAGTCTCAGCATTAATTAAATATTTACGCTCCATATTGGTATATATTTACTATACAATTAAAGTTACTAGTAAGATAAAAATAAATTTATTGAATTTATAAGAAAATCTATAGCATGTCAATTTTTGTATTAATTTAAAAGAAGTTATTGTTAACTGAGACCAAAAATATTCAAATAATAACAGGTAAATAAACGGAAATTTTACAAAAGAAAATATAAAAGTTAATTTTATTAGATCATAATTGTGTAACCGGTTCCCTTTAGTAACTTCTAAAAAAGTCTAATACTTAGAGGGGTTAACACCAACAAATATTAATAAGAAGACTATTCGTATTTGCTTACGTTTTGTTGATGTTTTTTTAAACAGTACTTAAAATGAAACTTTCATTATAAGTTTTTTATAAGTTTTAAGCATTGGAGAAAACCGAAATAGCTTATGCTGCGGTAGTAGCGTTAAGACTTATTTTTTAAACTCCGTCAAAAATGGTTGTCGTTTTAGCTTGGTATACAATACACTAAGCCATGATACTGTAGAGTGACTAAATCTCTTAACGTATTATTCCATGCCTAGGCGTCAATCAACGCCCCAATGGAATCCGTAGTATTTACGCTGGTACCAAATGATTAAATGCGTGTTAGACATAACTTCTATTTTGGTACGATGCGGGCCTCGCTATAAACCTCTGCTCCACGCCGAATGTGAACCAAAACTGAACAATCTTCCCGAGTAAATTTGGGTAGTAACCACAGCCACTATAAGTCCGACCTCAACTAGTCAGCACAGCCGAAATTGAGGGCCGGTCGTGTGTCGCAACTGCAGTAAAAAAATTGTTTTCCATTAAAACAACGCCAGCTCACACATATCAATATCGGCATTGATAACTCGTCAAAAGCTCTGTTAACTTGGTTGGGAAGTTCTTATGCACCCATGTTATAGACCACATCAGACACCAAGTGATCACAACTGTTCTTGTTCATGACGAATAATGGGCGATCAATTTCATACAAAAAAAAATAGATTTCATTTTACGGTATTATAACAAAATATAAGAAATGAGGACAGGGAAGAAGTAACAGAAGTGACATTAGATCTAACTAATGAATAGGGCGAAAAAGAAATTGAAGTTGAAAAAAAGGTTAATGAGACTAATCAGAGATCTACCAGAAGTGTTGAACGAGCTGCAGTTCAATGTATTTGTAATGAAACAATGGAATTAAGTGAATTAAATGAAAATCAAAAATTATAGAAAGTCATTAGGAATAACAAGCCAAAGAGAAAAAGTAAGATTCAGAAAACTATTAGATACAATAAATGAATGTTTCAACATTGAAATGTTTACTTATAAAGTACTCCGTTATGAATATTTTTGACAAAGGTCCAATAATCGTACAATAGATTTTTAGTATGAATGGTGTATGAATTCATGAAGGCTGATGGCGCAAAAATTTTTAGGTCATCGATGCTAAATAGAATAGTTGATGAAAGGAATAGAATCACACACAAGTTATAAGAATATGAGAAATGAAAGCTTTTTTCGTAGTTAGAAGAAACATTATGCATGTTTCAAAAAATTGGGGCATTTTATATAAGAGTCCAAAAGGTTCTTTGCAATGCCAATGGCTAAGACCATCTTTGAAAGACGATCAATAGTGAATCAAAGCAAGTTATGTGCAGATTACCTAAAATACAGCAGTCAATTCACGATGCAGATAAAATATAGAAGGATGCATAGATATAAGGGCAATTCATTCTTATAAAGTCTCGTGGAAAAGAATCCAATAAAGGATAGTAGATTCAGCTCTTGATTGGAATTATGTGTCAAGAAAAAATCCGGCAAATATGGTGTCTCGAGAAAAAATAAATCTGATAAATTAGTGAAATGCAATTAAAGGTGGGATGGACTAGACTGGCTATAAAATAAAGCAAAGGAATACATACATGATATGAAGGAAATTCAAGTAAAGTGCCACATTTCGTAGATATAATATATTAAGAGTTTAATAGAAAATATTGTAGAAGAAAATAGTGGTATATTTAAAAAGATTTGTTGACAAGTCAAAAGACATAAGACAAAAAATTGTATAGTAAAGCGGCGAAAAGTATTATATTTTGCTTCGGAAATAGCGGTCTTATTTATTCCTCATTGATATTTTGGGGGAAATATCATTATATCAATGCCTTTTATCAACAAAGCATCCAAAATTATTAAATAGTTCAAACCTGAGAATATCGATAGCAGAGAGAGCGCATATAATAACGCTAAATGAAGGCAACAATAGTGCAAACTGCATTGGTTTCATACAACTACTATATATCAAATCCATTTATGCATACAAGAGCTGATTATATGGGTCCAGAACAGATGCAAAAATCAAGGAGGACAAAAGTCAGGCAAATGACGTTAAATTTATTCGCATGGCAACTAAAGTATTTCACTTGTTAGCAGTCAGTGATTTAACTGTAGAAGATTTCTTTGTCACATTAAGAATATTTTGTGCTGGATGTGAACAAAATCTGCCGTTATGATTATGATTAAATTAATCAGATAAAAGCACTACGATTATACGATTATTTGTATAAATTTTTAATATTACCATTGAATTTGTGGGATTGGTGAACAACTGTTTAATTTATATGATCGATGAGATGGATAGATAACTGGTAATAGAAAGATTGATATTTCGAAATTAAAATGAATTGAATCCATTAGTAAATAAGCAAACATCGGTAATTGAACCTACAGAGTTACGGTAAAAGTAAATAGCTAATAGAAAAAATAATACTGTAGCTAGAACTATGGTATACACCATTAAATGCGGTGTTTAATTAATGTCGTTAAGGAGAATGTGGAGCAGAGGGACATTATCACTACTATTGTGAATTTGTTTTCGTTTTCAATGTAAATCTTAAAATAAGATAAAAATAGAGAAATTTTCTTTAAATATTCAATTACGGTAAGCAGGCTTTTACTGCCTGATCACGTTGACCAAAGCAGTGTTACACAGTAATACATGTTAGATATTGTTCTATTGTAAATATATGTATGTATCTCTTTATGGATATCTAAGTATAATGACATAATAACCTTGTGAATAAAGGATCAATAAAAGTACTCAGAGCACGAAATTGGCAACTCTGATATGATATATCTTTTGATCATGACCAAAAATAATATAAAATTACCGTCACCATTCATGAAACAAATTTCTGTATAAGAAAGCCTTGAGTATTTTCTCCACTGTACGATTTAGTAAAATAATTTGAGTTATTTAAGGCAAAAGATTATTCACCTTAAGACCGCGTTTTATAACTATCAATAGTTTTATTGTTTTAATGATTCTATGTTTAAAGTGTGATTTCATTTCATTGCTAAAAGTCCACAATCTGAAGAGGTATTAACATTAATTTTGTTTATTGGTATGAAAAATTCATTTATGAAACAGCATCAACCGCAGAGTTGCATTTAAGATTCTCAATATTTTTACAGTTCGGTAGCAACTGGTAGCAGGGTTGCATTTAAAATTCTTTAACTTTTTACAGTTTGGTAGTTTTTACAGTTTTGACATTTTATAAAAAATGTCTAAAAATTATTTTTGACATCCTCACAATCACCAATTTTGTTTTATTTATAGCATATGTGAACAAAGGAAATCTTTATATTATCCAGTATTCTATTTTAATATAAATTTAAGTATTTTATATTTATTTATGATTTATTAGTTAGGTGAAATTAAAAATGAATGTGCAAAATTGTGTTTTTTTTAAAAAATTTGATTGTTATATATAATAAGCATTTCTTAAATATTTTGTAATTATTATGTAAAATTTATGTTACATATTTTGGTGCACGACAACTAAAACAGTTTGTTAGTTATCTTTATAAGAAATAATGACTAATGATTGTAATAATTACCTGCTTTTATAGGGTTTGTAATGTTACACTGCAATGTCTATTAATTTAATTCTTAATACTATAACAATTAATGACTATTTTTCAATTTGAAAATGTACTTTTATTACCGTAAGATTAAAATGTAGGAACAAAACGTATATAACACCGGCGAATTTAACTTAGACTATTAATTTTAGCTGTAGTAATATGCTGAATTTTGAATCATAAAAGTCATTTTGAAAAGAAAAAAATATAACAAAAAAAAAATTTTAAATTTGAAATTAAAATTAACGCTACCTTTGATAATAAAAAATATATATGTAAGTAACTTCTTTCGTTATGCAGACAGTCATATTATGAATGGTCACAACGGTTTTACGTTTATTTTTGGTCATGATATATCTCAAGTGGATCCACAAAAATATATACATGGTTGCTTCTAAAAGGCGCATATTTTGATAGTTGTTAGTAAGCAACATTGCTTTGTTGCAATGAGCGGAACGAGGCACTGAAAGCCTTGTCAAAATTCACATAAAGTTTTTCTCTTACTTTTATTATATTTTTACTTACATTGAAAACTACTCTTTGCATTATATTATCCTTCTGCAAAAACAAAGTTCCCTCAGAGATTTTAATCGGTTACACCGTTTAAGCAAGAACCATGTTTACAATTGACAGCTGAATTTTATTCAGTAAGTTTTGACATTACAACATTAATAATACTCACATTTCAATCCAGTATCAACTTCAAACTAAATCCTCAATTATTCTGGTTACTATTGTTTTGAAAATTTTATTTTATCATAAAAATTTAAAATCCAAACCAATTTTTTTTTCATTTGAAATTTAAAGTTTACGCCACCTTAGATTATAAAATATACAATTCATTGTGAAAGTGATGTCAACGGAGTTGCTGTGTCCCTAATCCTAAATACTATTATTATGTTGAAGCTATTTGAGTCAGTGCACTTGAGCACTTTTACTCTCTATTAACTGCGACGCATCATCAAAATCCCATTTTACGCCTTGACTGGATTATTGTTTATCACTTCATCAGACTAAGCAATAATTGTCCTCAGATCTGCATACCTCTCCGAGGATTTTGAAACCATTCTGAGATTCAATAACATAAATATATATGTAATGTATATGGAGTATTGAATATAAGCAACGATGTTTTTGATCTTCATACCTGATACTGTGCGGTAATTCGAAAATTATCTTCTGAAAAATAATTTGGATATTATTTTGAATAACATAATGTGATTGTGTAATTACTAAACTCAGCTACATTGTGATGAAGGGTAGATAAGTTTAAAGGAAAAGAAGTTATTAATTAACTACGAAAATGATAATGCTTCTTTTTCTAGTTGCTGAATTCTAAGTTCTGGATGGTCTGCATTTTTTTGACAAGACAAACTAGATGTAATTGCAATATTTCTTGCCAAGAAGTTAACGTATTCAGCTTTATTATATTTATCCTAATGTGTTCAAATTTAGATTTAATAGATTTCGGTAAATTTTTAATTTACGCGGCACCATACATTGTATTCATTATTCTGAGGTTACTTCAAGTATCACTTCACGTTAGATTAGGTTAGATTGGAGTGGTGGCTTTGTGTACAAGAAGGCCCATTTAAGCACAAATAATGAACTATTTTAGTAACACGAGATAGACGTCTCTTCATGCATAAACTAAATGTCAGTACACTACTAATCGCCGAAAAATGCTACGATGTGTAAATCTAGTCTCATAGCATGCCTACTGATACAGTAGTCCTACACAGGTTTCGCCTTAGTTAAATTAGCTTTTAGACTATATTATAATAGTGTGTTATTTGTCCAAATTAGACCAGATCAACCTAGAGGTCTGTCAGTAGGATTCGTTTGCCCAGTTGTGCTGGGATATGCTCAAATATTTTTGTTTATTTGCCAGTTTAACTGTTGCAAGCGAAAAGACAGTATCTAAGAAGTGAATGTCTGGGGTGAGAACACTTGCTTGGGCAAGAGATGTTCCTATGCCCAGGAACCCACATGAGTTGAACCTTGACACGCTTAGTTAAACAATTCAGGAAAGCTCGACATTCTCAAATAATAATTGATGTGGATGTAGTACCAACCAGTCATTCAATGGCAGCTTGGCTCTACGTAGTCGATTGAGACAAGGACTCGCAGATCCTGCTTCAGTATGGTCAGGTGCCCTATGTCAATTTTGGACCAGAGTTAAAGAGTCACTATTTAAGTTTGCTGTTTTAACAGAAACAGAGATGAGTTGGCGGGCTGGGAGACCTTGCGGGGGTGAAGCGTAGAGCTTCAGTGAATTGCAAAGCAGCTATCATTCTTATTTTGTCAATAGATTTTATATAGTTCATCTTTCTACTTGCTTGCTACCAGAAGGCGGCCTCGTAAAGAAGGATTTGTTCAATAACGTCTGTAATCGAAACCAGAGCACGATTTGAGGTTGATAACCCCAACTGCGACCTATAGCTCTTCTGCAACAGTAAGTAGCACACGTATTACAACACTTGAAGCATTAGTATTTCGAAATAACATTGTGCTTTTGACACAGAAGGGATCTTCTATTAATGGGATAGTGTAGCATTATTTGCAGACGAGAAATATATGCATATATTTAAGCTATTTAATTTATTCTTAGTTATCATCATTCTGTGTATTATTTATGTTAACTCTATTCGTATTTTCTGGAAGTCTGGTAAAGTAAAGTATTTAGCCTAGAAGGACTTTGTCACAGAGTCCTTTCATAACAAATTCTTATAAAAACCACTTCACTTTTTAACAACATCTATATTACTACTATGTTAGTGAAAAAAACAAAAAATAAAGAAAGATCCGTGCTGGGGCTCCGTGTCAAGGTAACTTGTGTGTTTTCTATTCTAATATCCTTGATGTGGAAGTTGACAGAATAAAGAAGAAACTAAAATCACAAATTAATTAAAAGATTCCTGCACTTTCATATTCTTTTCAATTCTATATTCTCTTACTTTTATTCTTTTATTTTTCTTTCTTCGTAGCCAATATAAATTGTGTTTCTCTAATTTGAATTGATTAAGACACGATTTACTGCCTGCCAACCGCCGCGGCGGAGAGCAAAACTTTGTGTAAAGTTTAAAACGCAAGTGAGATGTTCTGGAATCTGTGAGGCAATTTGTTAAACACTAAAGTTCATGGTCAGGAAGGGGCGAATAAATTATGTTGCCTTTAAAGTTTTCAAAATATTGAAATTTATTTTAAGCTTTCTTGAAAGTTTTTTAATAAAACAGCTTGTTGAATGTTTAGAGCTGCATCTTAGAGGCAGCATAAACATATGACACTTTCAAAGCGATATTTAAATAAAGTCAGTAAATATTTCTATAATAGTTTTATATATTGAACATATGGCAAGTTATGTATATGGCACCTTAGCTTATGCACCCTCCGTCAAGACTACTGACCACATAATTAGCTACAATTTTCTAATGTCACATAATTTACTTCAGTAGAGCGTTTTTATTAGATTTACATTTGAACTCGTATTTTGACTTTTTTTATTTTTTCCCAAAATTTGCTTCGAAATTATACAAAAAAAACTTTTGCTTATATTTTTGTTTCAAATTTTTTATTGTGGCACACATTGTTTGCTGCATGTCATCACATTTCTCTAATTTTATGAAAATACTCAAGTTCGTGTCAAAATAAAAAGTTTGTCTAGACAGCTGCATAATTAGCACCAACCTCAATGAAAACGTGCTCAGCAGAGAATTAAGTTAACAGAAGATTAAATTTTGTATCTGGGATCAATAAAAAAGTTAAAATAGGATTTAGTTACTGCAAGTGGCTTGCTTTTATAGAAAATGAAACAGTTGAATTAAAATCGAAGATCTGTAGGCTAACTGTATCGTTAACAATGGTATGGAGTTATAATATGTTGCAAATTCAAATAAGACAAATTGTTGTTTATTCAAAAGATTGCATATAGATTTATGCAACATAATGCAAAATGAGATATCTGCCATAATAACACATGACAAATGGTTGGCGGATCAAGACAAAAGAGAGGCGCGTCAACCCTTGAAAAATGAATTGCATTGAAAGCTATCCATTTATGCTGTATTTTTGAATACCTACGTGTAAACTTTTTCATCCCTGTTAAAACATTATAGTCACTAATAATTGTCTACGATGCTTCTTCATGTTTTGAACGAAAGTTTGATTTAAATTTTAAAAGATATAAAAAAGTCTGCCATATTTGGGGAACATTGGAAGTGTGACTCCTCAACTCCTCACCATGAAATTATTGATATGTTGTATTTTATAATTTTGGCAACTTAACTTCTACATTTCAAGTAAAAGAATTCGTTATCCCCTCTCTCTCGTTATGGATACGAACGGGAAGAGCAGTCAAACAGCTATTAAACTGTTTAGCATAGCTGTGGTTTTTATCTCATGCCTGTAAACGAGTTATTAACTTTCTAGATAGCTCATAATAAGTATGCGTACAAATTGAGAAAGATCGATGGTTCTCTGACTGAGCTTCCACTTAAATTTCTGTGCTAAGTTTCTATGGCTGATTTATTTTTCTAATCTTATAGCAGCATCTAGGTCAAAGACGATATGGTCAATATGTGTACATCTAGAGTTTCATATTAAATCCAACTGAAAAACGTATTGAAGATCGGTTGGTAATTGTATATATTGAGAATGCTCTATTTTTACTACATTCAATAGTGTTATCTGGTAATCAAGAACACAGAAACATATGTTGCCACTGTACAGGTATATATGAAATTTATTCTAATCATATGTTTGCGGATTTTCAAATCTTTTCACAGCTCCTCCAACTTGGAAAGTTGATTGTGAGATCAAAACAAAAAACAAAATTATTAAAACGTAAGCATATTTTCTTTTTATTGTATTTAGAAGCTTAGCTTTAAATAAAGTCACAATTTATATTTAAATACATATTTATGATAACAAAATTTTCTTATTTGATGATCACATCAAATAATGTGAACGACAGGATTACATCTTAACTCCATGTTACGGAACCGTAATTTTTCTGAACAGTGGCGGCGCCACGCAAAAAGTTACCTACTGTGAATTCAAAGTACTTAATGAATGTATTGTACAATATAGTTTCATATTTGGCATTAATCATATCAGAAGTATATCCGAATGTTTATATAGTAACCAGAAGCATGTTCACAGATCCAGTCAGTACAGC